TGTCATTTGCAGCAGATTATCCTGATTCAGTCCCTGAATCATCAAAAGCATCATCAACTTATGTCGAAAAAAGAATTAGATTTATACGCTCATGACCGGTAAAAAATACTCTTGACGAGATCTGAAATCGTTGATTATAGTCGGAGGTGTTGATATTGTTGTGTGGTATATATATTGTTGTGCAGGGATTAAATGGCATTCTCGAGTTCATACCTCATACGAGAAGTTCACTTCATAATGTGTTGATTAGTTGGTCAAAGTTTCTAAAGTTGTATAAACGTCTGTATTTATCTCAACCTTATATGGAGAAAAAATTAGTCTCTTGCGTTGATTATGATGGAGTTTTGTAACACCCATAAAATTTGAGCCAAATTAAAACATTTTAATCATTCAAAAACCATTACGTTCATACAACTCGTTTTCAAAATAGTTTAAACATCAGAGTATCCCCCAGACAGAACCATATATAAATCATAAACATAAGAGCGGTACGATCACGCCTTCGCCTTGCCACGATCTCCTGAAGTACTGAAACAATACACTGAAACTGTAAGCCCGAAGCTTAGTGAGTTACCCCCAAAATACCAACCACACATATCACACTCATAACATATCATAAATAGAACAACCATGCACATCGGGTCTACTATGTGACTGGTCCGCCCGCACCGGGCCTTCAGTCCACCTGGTCCAACCTCCGAGTCTAGCCATGTACGTCGAGTCTACAGTGTGATTGGTCCGCCCGCACCGGGCCTTCAATCCACCTGGTCCACTCTCTGAGTCTACAGTATGACTGGTCCGCCCGCACCGGGCCTTCAGTCGGCCTGGTCCACTCCCCGACCCTCGACACGTCTGGTCCGCCCTTTTGGGGCCTTCAGCCTATCCGGTCCGCTCGCTGGGCCTTCGGAATATCCGGTCCGCCCTGGGTATATTGGCCTTCAGCACAAAGCAGGACCCGCCTCAACCCAACCCCCGTCAAACAACCATGTGCACATAAAACAATCAATCACATAACAATCCTCAACCAGACAAACAGTCTAACAGATCACATAGCATATCAACATCCTAACAGGATTCCGACCTAACCGGTCACTAGCATAACATTACCCTATATCCCGGGTACCGACCTTAACCAGGTCACTAACATAACACCATCCTAAATACCAGGATACAGATCTAGCAAAACAATAACATAACAAACAATACCCGGATTTTCATCCGATAAAGGGCCGGCCTTGGTGCCGTAGACCCTGTCGATATAGAGAGGATAACTCACCTCGCAATTGTCGACTGAAAGGATAAGATCAGCTGCTCCGATCACCGACACGAACCAACCACCGAACACTACCAAAGAACAATTCCATAAATACCAAAATCACCAAAATACCCTTGGAAGTCAAACTGGTCAACTCTTTGTCAAAGTCAAAATCCTCAGTCAAAGTCAACCTCCCTGACTGACTCTACTCGCCGAGTCGACCCGTCGACTCGTCGAGTCCCTATACTCAGAAATTCCCATAACCCGAGTCTACTCGCCGAGTCACCCCAAGACTCGTCGAGTCCAACGATCTCCGAGTCCCATCCTGTCCAACTCACTGAGTCACCCCTCGACTCACTTATCTGCGTCTTAACCAAAAGGGGTTAGGGGTTATGCGACCAGACTCGCCGAGTCCAAGAACAGACTCGCCGAGTCCACGACAATCTTCAATAGACTCGCCGAGTTGTTCTTCCAATCGTCGAGTCCAAGCTCATCATCATAAGACTCGCCGAGTCACCCATGCGACTCGCCGAGTTACTACGTGACTCAAAGTCTGATCTCTAGCCCGACTCGCCGAGTCATCTCCCAGAATCGTCGAGTCTATACGTGCATTCCCAAAATCTCGAGACACAGAGCTGCTCCTTTGCTCCAAGCAATAGATCGGGGTCTCTAGAGTCCATTAGCAACATAAAGTTGCTACCTTTACGTGCTTCTTGCCCCATAATACCAAAAACCAAGCTAGAAAGGGACTTAACTTCTTGGGGAAAGGCTTTTGCATAGCAACCAAAAGGGCTTTCTGCATCTTTGATCCAAATAGAGCTCATCATATCATCATATCATCTCCAAACAAGCCCTAAACTTCCATGAAAATGGATCTAGAAAGGGGAAAGCCAAGGATAACGATTCATTACCTCCAAAAAGACCTCCTGCTGAAGAGTAATCTGAATCTCCACAAATCTCCTTGATCCAAGCTTCTTGATCTTCAAGATCTCTTCACAAAACACTTAACAATGCTCCAATTTGCTTCCAATGGCTCTCACTCACGGATTCTAGGGTTTTCTGGGTCTCAAGGGGGCTAAGGGAGCTGAGGGAGGACATTAAGTCCTTTAAATAGGGTGCAACCCCGAAGATTAGGGTTTTTCCTCGACCAGCACTGACTCGTCGAGTCCAGCTGCCGACTCGCCGAGTCAGGCCACTTAACCCCGTGCCACGCACCCGCTTCGACTCGGCGAGTCAAGAGACCTACTCGCCGAGTCCCTTCCTTTATTTTCACTTAGCACCCTTCAACTTCTTGCTTCCGAACTTGGGATGTTACAAGTTTAAACTTAAGTTATTTGAGGAAGAGTGGTGGTTGGATTTTGTGACTAGGATCAACAACAAAGAATGTGGAAGAAGAAGAGGCTGGATGAGATGTGAGGTGAGGTGGATTTTAGTTTTATTTCTTTTTAGTTTTGTTTAGTGAGAAAAGCCCTATCATCATGAAAACCGGCAATTATAAGGCATTGTCCTTTATTAAAAGGTAAAAATGGACTTCGTACCCCTAAACTGCCAAGTAAAATGAAGGACCATTTAAAACGGAACCTGATAGTTGGTTGGGCTACGGTGACATTTACAAAAAAAAAAAAAAAAAAAAAAAAAAAAAAAAATCGATGGACAAAAGTCTTAACTCAAATATCACCATTTAAGAGGCTTGCTACATTACATTATGCAATTCCAAACCCTAAAAATGCGATCTCTTTTGAGAGGAACTATGTAGTTAAAAAATATGGAACTACATTACAGTATGCAATCCCACCCAATTATGCAGCTACAATAATGTTTGGTGTGGTTAAAAAATATGTATCAGATTTATAAATTATGAATACCATAATGGATGCTCTAAGATACATATACTCAATTATTGTTGAATTTAATAGGGATAATGACTTGAAAGGGTAACGAATTTTCGACTTTGTTCACATTTAGTCACTAAACTTTTTTTCGTTATCTATTTGTCATTGAACTATTGAAACTGTTCACATTTTACCCTTATGACCGGCTGTTACAGGTCATAAGGGTAAAATGTGAACAGTTTCAATAGTTTAGTGGGAAATAGATAACGAAAAAAAATTTAGTGACTAAATGTGAACAAAATAGAAAGTTTGTTTCCCTCTAAAAAAGTTCAATGACTAAATGTGAACAAACTTCCTATTGTATTATGTTTTAGCAAATTATTTATTTTTGTTAAATTCTAGCAACATTATTTATTTTTGTTAAATTCTAGCAACATTGTTGATGAAGAAATCTATGAAATAAAAAAAAAACAAAACCTTGAAAATATATTTAAAAAAAAAAAACCGAAACCGAAATAAAAAACCAATGGTTTGACATTTTCCAAAATAAAAAATCAAAATTTTCAATCTGATTTTGGTTTTACAAAAAAAATGAACAATTCTCACTGATGTGAATTATGACCATTGGTTTGGCATGCAGAATTAAATAACACACAAAGAACACGGTGATTTGGGTGTTTAAGAGATGCATTCGATTATAAAAGATGTTTACAAAAAAGGATCTAGATCTAAATCTACATAATTAACACATACTAGTAACACTCTCAATGTTACATCTCTCAAGCACACATCTCATGTGGTATGAACCCCCTATATAGAAATGTTTACATGTCTCTCTCTATCTCTCATGTCATAAAGGGGAGTTTTTGGATAGAAAATTCTAAATTGAGCGTTTTCTCATTCCCTTTTTGGTTTTATAATCATTTTCCGATTATAAAAAGGGGGAGGGATTTAGATATGGAAATCCGAAAGTTGGAATTTTTGTAAAACCAAAATCAGATTGGAAAATTGTGATTTTTTATTTTGGAAAATACCAAACCATTGGTTTTTTATTTCGGTTTCGGTTTTTCGTTTTTTTTAATATATTTTTCGGGGTTTTGTTTTTTTTTTATTTCATAGATTTCTTCATCAACAAATGTTTCTATAATTTAACAAAAATAAATAATTTGCTAAAACATAATACAATAGGAAGTTTGTTCACATTTAGTCATTGAACTTTTTAGAGGGAAACGAATTTTCGATTTTGTTTACATTTAGTCACTAAACTTTTTTTCGTTATCTATTTGTCACTAAACTATTGAAACTGTTCACATTTTACCCTTATGACCGGTAACAGCCGGTCATAAGGGTAAAATGTGAACAGTTTTAATAGTTCAATGACAAATAAATAACGAAAAAAAGTTTAGTGACTAAATGTGAACAAAGTCGAAAGTTCGTTACCCTTTCAAGTCATTATCCCAATTTAATATGCATGCCCATAGCCACTTCGGAAAAAAAAATATTATTGCAAAATATGACATGAACCCTAAACTATCAGCTATAAGTTATACTTGTTAAGCCAATCAAAAAATGAATGAAAACTTCTAACATTTTCAACGAAAAGATTTTTAAGGGTTACAAAAAAAAGAAAAAAAACTTTTCTACTATAAAACCTTAATAATAATGCCAAATTAAATACTCATACAATTATACATTATGCATTAATTAATAAACTAGTGGATACACGTAAATATATATTATCATCTATACAAGCAACATTCTAAATACAGTATCAAACATCACAAATACAATAAAATTTAAAGCAACAATGCAACCTTGGAGCACATCTAGTAGTATGATGCAATCATTATTTACATATTTTTATGAATGATGTATATTAATAGACGGAAAATTACTCCACCCAAAAAGATTATAATCGATATATAGCAAGCATCCAAGTAAAAATCAACATCCATGTGTTAATATGTTCTCAAAATCTCATCAATCAACAAACATAAATATCCAGATTGTTAAGAATTCATGTTTTGATTATCAAAAATCAATCATAACCACCACTGTTGTTCAGCAGAAGAACATGGAACTAGAAACCTTATCATGAAGCTTTGGCAACTGGGTGAAAGAAGAACCACCCACACCACCACCACTATGACTAGACGCAGTGTCTGACATGTCATCAAACTTCACAAACTGTGCCACCTGTCCTGCCGCCAAGTGAGCATAGCATATCGGAGCAACTGCATATATAATCATTAGATTCTACTTTAAAAACATGTAAAAAATTCATTGTATAACTAATTAATTAATTATCACATCTTATATATTCTTACCTACAGATATAGCAGTTGTACTCCTTTGGTACCTACAAAACCCAAAATCCCCAAATCAATCACTAATTTAGTAATTTTGACCTAATATTTTAGAAAATTTAAGTTTTTATCGAGTTACACATAGGATAACGAATGAACAAGCTCTTGCAACTCATCAGCAGAAAACCCGATCTCATCACGAAGCACCTGGTGAATGCGTAGGTCGCGTAGTTCCCTAAAAAACCCAAATACAATCAATTCAAAAACATTTCTTTAATCACAATCATATCTTACAAATCCTTTCACAATACTCACAATCGGTCCATTTTGTGCACATAAATAGAAGTCGTTGCTCTTAGGATGACAAACTTTATTATCAACGACTGTTCCTGTAACACAAGAAAGCAAAAAAAATTCAATTTTTGTTCGTTTTTGACTTTTTGTTCATCCAAAATCAAAACAATTTCAAAATCGGAAACCTGGTGGGACATTAGCTTCTGAATTGGCTTGGAAGAATTTCGTGTGATGAACCTTTTGTGCCACGATCAACAAAAACTTCGGATCCCATTGTTCATCCAAGAACTTACACGCTTCAATGATTTGATTGAGTTCGATGTTAAGCACTTGATTAAACTGCGATTCGCTTACACCATCTCTGAATATGATTATGTTCTTCGGTTTCAACTTTGGAGTGCTTAAATAGAAGTCATCCAACAGCTCCCTGAAATCATATAAACATCCATCAATACTTTTTAGCATTCGAGATTCAAACTTTGAAAAATCCGTAAATGTTTATGAAATATGAATTAATTTTAACCTTATCATTCCTTCATCTTTATCATGAGAAATAGGCTTAAACAAACCATCGATCATCTCAACTCTTGCAGATTGTGCACGAACAGATGCTCTGTATCGCGAAATTTGTGGCCATTTCCTTGAGCTTACAACCTAAATGTACATATTAATAATATGTTATTAATTATTATCGTATTAGATTAAAGAATGTGACGAAATTAAAAATGTGTGACAAAATATACAGCAGCAATTGAGGGAACATCCGCACGTCCCGGTGAACCATGGGAGACATCCATCCCAAAGATTATAGTGGGATTCCTGGACACCAATGGGATAGCATTTGACAACTCAACTGACAACAAAGAGTTTATTCCACCCATCTGAATAAAAAAAATAATAAATTAAATTAATAAGACTCGAGTTCAAGAAATTTTTAAAAAAAAATGTGTTTGGATTGAAAATAAGACCTTTGCATTAATCTTGAGAAGCATGTTTGTGACATACTGGTCGTTGATCTTAGTCGGGGCGATGCACTGTGTGACAATCCCATGGTCCACAAGACATTTTCGTTTCCATGGACCTGTGATTAATACAGTTGACATCAGTCTCAGTTCCAGTTCCAATATAATAATATTAAACAGAGTAGATATTAAAAGATGAAGAAAAATGATAAAAACCGTAGATGTCCGAATTTTTTCGTTCAGGGAGGATGCATAGAATGAATGAAGGTGGGCCCGGGAGTCTTTGTCTTATGGCTTCAAACATTTTGTCAACACGAACGGGGGCAGGGCTACGTTTAAACTGAGGGTTCTCTTCGATCACACCAAATGGTGGATCGAGTTCCTGTATACATTACACAAAAAAAATATATATTAATTTTCAATTTTTGTAAGTTTTTATGATGTTATATTAAAAATAGATGGATTAATTATATGAAAGAACTTACGATTCCTTTTGCTTGAGAACACACACGGAGATTGTTCTTGAGGGCATTCAGGTCACATCGTGCAGAAAAGTTGACTACAACCCAACAGCTTATCCTTGAAGGCTCAACAAGTGTCTGAATTAAGACCAGTATATGTAAATGTTAGATTTAATGAAAAAATGTAAATATGGTCAAAATGGAGAAGGTTGACCTTGTTGTTGAAGTTCCACCGACCTCCACGTGGCACCATGTCTCCTCCTCTCCCGAATTTCAACTAAGAAAAAGTACAAACAAAATTTTTAATTACATTATTATTAATAATATAAATTTAAAAAAATGTTTAATTTATTGTAATTACCTTTGGAGGTTCCAAAACTCGACCCTCGACTTGTGTGAAAGTGGTACTGATTGTAATCCCAGTGGCATTAATAAGAGGATCAGCACCATAGTTACTTTGATTCAGTGCCTGAAAAGGAAAATTCAAATAGTTTTTACTTTTTATATTACCATTTAATTAATATTTTCTATTTTCGTAATTGATATTAAGATATAGAAGCTTACACCAGTCAATGCTTGCATTCGATCACGAGGCTTTTGTCGTGACTTCTCAACAAGTGAAGCTCTTAGTAGATTAGACAAAGCCTTGGTGTATCGTTGAAGGGAAATCAAATCACACAACTATTAAAAAAACCAAAAAGGATTTAGATTGGATTTGGGTGATTAATATTTGTTAACAAAATCTGAAAAGATTTATATATTTAATTACCTCAAGTGGGATATAAACTGGTCTCTTAGGTTTTCCAACATCAAGACATGGGCAATCAGCAGAGTATTCAAGGTGTATTTGTCGATACTCAGCATAGTATTGAAACACTGTTATGTCAATGGCTTCACTTGGGCTATACCCATCTCTTTGATTCTTTTGTTTCAATGAAAACCTACAAAATTAATTATTCAGATTTGAAACGTATAGAAATGTTGATAAAATGACATGAAATAATTGAACAATTTCACTAACCTCTGTTCTCTACATGTTTTCTCACTCAATCCAATGATCTTATACTCCAGATTCGAGGGTAAGGTCTTGATGCGAAGGTTCTTCAGCATTCTTTTTGCCTAATCACCAAAAAAGAATCAAATTCAAGGTTTCAAATTTTGAATCCATAAGTTTAAAACAGAACAAAATTGGTATACCTTGATCCAATCGATCTCCCTTAAGCTGCGAACGTTTTGGTTTTCAAATAGGAAATCCATAACTTTCCCTGGCTTCACAATCATTGTTGTCGATACATCTGTAATAGAATCAAATCAATGTTGATTGATAATCAGTCATAGACTCATAGCATTATAATTTTTAAAATTAGACAAAAAAAAAGATGAAATCGTTAGTGTTTTTTACCCATGTTCAAACTCAGCCCAGATTGGGTGGCGCGAAAACTTGAATGAAACCCCCTGCAACCCACAACACCACCTCCAATGCTTATGAAGTTTCTGGAATCATTTTGAAAGTAGCATTGTCTAACCAGAAGACAACCTCTGTGTATAATCCCAAATAAACCATGATTAATGTAATGAATACAAATACATGAATAACTAACTAGAATTTCTTGTTTACATATGTATATGACTTACTGTTTCGCCGCGTGTTGGCGAAGAAGAACATCTAGAACCCTAACCGCTTCATGAAATTGCTCAGAATCGTGACCTTGAAGCGCATTAACAATGGCTTGAATTGGGATTTTTGTAGCGTAGCTTAAAGTGACCTTGTATTGTTTCGATTGAGGCACACGTCTGGACCTCTTCGTTTCTCCTTCACTTGGGCTTCCACCTCGGATAGTTCTATACAAACAATTCCACGAGTTTTT